AGACGTCACGTGCGTTTAGAACTCGTTCTAAAATAATTTTATTTTTTATATAAAAATAAAAATAAAAATGAAAATGTTTTAAATCTGACAATTTTTAAAAATACGTTTGGTAGTTTTATTAAGAGATTATTTTTAGTATAAAAAACTCATTAATATCTCTCTATTTTTCTCTCTGTTAGAAAGAGGAGAAAACGATAAAAAATAAAAAATGACTAAAAATTATTTTTTATTTCTCTATTATTTTACACTAAATTAAAAAATTATTTTTATTTTTATTTTTTATTTTTATTGCGTCAAACGCTGTTTTAGAAACGTTTTTATTTTTATTTTTTAAAAAAACATAAAAAACAAAAACAGAATAGTTGAAGGTCAATGCGCGTGGAAAACACGCGCGACGAGGATCGTGGGGGGTTTTCTTTTCTCATCACTACTTCTCTAATAAAAGTATAGTAGAAAATAAAAAAAAAATAGAAAAAAAAAGAAAGAAAACAAACGAGAGAGGTAGAGGGGGATAAAAAGGCAGTCAATCCATAGTCATGAATCTTTTTTTTGCCTTTTTTTTTTTTTTGCCCCTTAATTCAACTTCTTACTCTTTCTCTCTCCTCCTAAAAAGTGAGTGTCTCTTTCTCGCTCCATTATCTCGAACGAACTGAAATAGATTAATAGAGAAATATTGGCGATAAAAGTGGCAAAAAAGAAGAAGCAAGTAATAGAAAAACAAAGAATAAACAAAGAAAAAGTTGGACACAAAAAGGAGAGCAGATTGCTGTGCTCACCAAAAAAATGATTTCATTTATGCCTTTATTTTATTCCTTTTTCTTACAGAAATCCTTGCAAAGCTGATCACAGTGATACTACTTCAAACACACTCTCTCTCTCGACTCAATTAAAAAAAAAAAAAAGAAAATTTGCCCCTTTTTATTCTACATATGGGATGGGTTTTGGGTTAGTTTATAATTATTAAAGTTGGGTATTTTTTATTTTTATTTATATTTATTTTTCCTTTTTATTCGGTCTATTTAGTTTGTTGATTTGAATTTTTAATTTGAGTTGAGATGTGACTTTATGTGAGAGTTTTTGACCGTAATAAAAAAATTAAATATGATTATTTCTGAGAATTTTTTACTATAATAAAACTTAAATTTTAAACTCAAATCGACGAAATGAACGCACCTAAACTTTTTCACTTTGTTTTCACTGTTGGTATAAATTTTGTTGGGTATATTGGTGGCTCTCGGATATTTCGGCATTCGTTCACACACAAAAAAAAAACAACTCACATAGAGATAGAAAGAAAAGCAGAGGGGGAGAGAGAGAGAGAGAGAGAGGTGAGAAATGAGAAGAGTTTCTTGTGAAGAAGGGGATCTGTCTTTCCTTTTCGCGTTGAATTCTCTCTCTCAATACAAACATACACCTGGGAGAGATTGAGATAGAGAAAGCCAAAGAAGAGGAGGGAAAAAGAAAAGGAAAGAAAAGAAAATTCGAAAAGATAGATCCCATATAAGAAGAAGAAACTTTAAAAGCTATATATTAGCTGCTGTTACTTTCTCTCCATTTCTTTTTTGTTTGTGTTCGTGAAAAGTTATTTTTTGTGATCGATTTTTTTCTTTCTTCTTTCGAAAATCTCAACTTTGTCTAATTATTCGAAAGCGTTCACACTTTTGTAAACCCAAGTGGGCTTTATTAGTTATTACTCTGAATTCCTCACATTCAGAAGAAGCATTTATTTTCCCTTTTTTTTTTTTCCTTTCTTCTTCTTCTTCTCTTCCTCAACAACTGATATACAAAACTCAAGAGAAAGAAAGCAACATAGAAAGCAAAGGGAAAAAAAAAGAAAAAGAAAAACAAGAGACCCTCTTCAATTCCAGGAGAAATACAAAGAATTGGAATTATTATATGTATATACTTCTGTATATGTATAGATATATATAGACAGACAGAGAGAGGAGGATTTTGATTTTGGATTTGTGAAATGAGAGCGGGGCTGAGCACGATCCAGCAAACACTGACGCCGGAGGCGGCGAGCGTTTTGAACCACTCGATAGCGGAGGCAGGACGCCGGAACCATGGCCAAACGACGCCGCTTCACGTGGCGGCGACGCTCCTGGCGTCGCCGTCGGGATTCCTCCGGCAAGCCTGCATAAAGTCCCACCCCAATTCCTCCCATCCTCTCCAGTGCCGGGCCCTCGAGCTCTGCTTCAGCGTCGCCCTCGAGCGTCTCCCGACGGCGGTTCAGAACTCTTCCGCCTCCGGCGGCGGCGCGGCGGTGGCTGAGCCGCCAATCTCCAATGCTCTGATGGCGGCTCTGAAGCGGGCCCAGGCCCACCAGCGCCGCGGATGTCCGGAGCAGCAGCAGCAGCCGCTCCTCGCCGTTAAGGTCGAGCTCGAGCAGCTCATCATTTCGATCCTCGACGACCCGAGCGTGAGCCGCGTCATGCGCGAAGCAAGCTTCTCGAGCCCCGCCGTTAAAGCCACGATTGAGCAGTCCTTGACAAGTACCGCGTCGAATTCTAATTTGGCTTCGAGTTGTAATAATCCTCAGAGCTCTATATCGATGGGTTTTCGCCCCGGGCCCGCTGCCGCTGCCGTGCCGGGGCGGAATTTGTACTTGAATCCCCGGCTTCAGCAGCAGCAGAATCAGCAGGGCGGTGGCGGTGGTGCGCAACCGGGGCAGATGAGGGCGGAGGAGGTGAAGCGGGTGATTGATATTTTGATGCGGACGAGGAAGAGGAATCCGGTGCTGGTCGGAGATTCGGAGCCCGAGGCGGTGGTGAGGGAGATTCTGAGGAGGATTGACGGGAAGGAATTGGGGGAATTGATGAGTAATGTTGAGGTTGTTCATATGGAGAAGGAGGTCGGTTCGGATAGGACCAAGACGGTGGAGAGAGTGAAGGAGTTGGCCGGTTTAGTCGAGGCTCGGATCGGGAAATCGAGCGGTGGCAGCGGCGTTGTGCTGAATTTGGGAGACTTAAGGGGGCTGGTGGAGCAGCCGGTGAGTTTAGCAGGAGCTCCTGCTCCCCAGACGCAGGTTGTTTCGGAGGCGGGGCGGGAGGCGGTCGCGGAGGTGGCGAAGCTTCTGACGATGTTCGGAGACGGCGGTGGCGGTGGCGGTGGAGGACGGCTTTGGTTGATCGGCACGGCGACGTGCGAGACGTATTTGAGGTGTCAAGTGTACCATCCTTCTATGGAGAATGATTGGGATCTGCAGGCTGTTCCAATTGCCGCCAGGGCTCCTGTTCCGGGACTATTTCCCAGGTAAAATTTGTCTTAGAATTGTTGCCTTTTGATCTTTAGAATTGTTTGATGCATTTCTTATTGTCTAAGGAGAAATGGGAATTTTTGGATTTATGAATGGAATCCAGAATTGCCGTTTTAATGGAATCCATGAACAGTATACTCTACTAAAAATCCTTCTTTGGGAAGTGAAATTAGGATCTGAACAAAAACAACCTTAGATTTTGTGTCAACTCAGGAGTTGCCGAATAATAATCTGAATCTGTCGTTGATGTGTATTGATCTGGAAATTTTTGGGTAAAATCTTTAGGCTTGGAACAAATGGGATTCTCAGCAGCTCAGTGGAATCGCTGTCCCCTCTTCTGAAGGGCTTTCCAACTGCAAAACTTGGTCCACCTAGGCGTTTGTTCGAAAACTTGGATCCGTCTCGAAGAACAACTACAAACTGTTGCCCACAATGCACGCAAAGCTATGAACAAGAGCTATCCAAATTTGTCGCCAAGGAATCCGAAAAATCATCCTCCGACGTTATTAAATCGGAGGGTGCTCGACCTCCTCTGCCGCAATGGCTGCAGAATGCGAAAGCCCGGGACGGCGATGCCAAAACATTGGATCAGCCACAGGTGAGTTTAGTTAAGCTCAAGTTGAACAACAAATGAGGTGATTTTCACATTACTAAATGAGTGACAACCATTTGTTGTTTTCTATCTGCAGAATAAGGAGCAAGAATTGATTCTGAAGCAAAAGTCTCAGGAGTTGCAAAAGAAATGGAGTGATACATGCTTGCATATTCACCCCAGTTTCCATCATCAGCCGAATTTCAGCACTGAGAGGATAGTTCCGACCCCGACGGGTTTAACGATGGCGGGCTTGTATAATCCGAACTTGCTTGGGCGCCAACCTTTCCAACCGAAATTACAGATGAACAGAAGCCTTGGAGAAAGTATGCAGTTGAACACAAACCCAGTTTTGAACCAACCTTCTGAGAGGACTAATTCCCCACCAGGAAGCCCTGTGAGAACCGATTTAGTCCTCGGTCAAATGAAGGTCAATGGCACGGCGCAAGAGCAGAGTCATAAGGAAAGGATCAAGGACTTAATTGGCTGCATTTCTTCTGAAGTACCACAAAACAAGTTCATTGAAATTCATAGAGATGACAAAATGGCTTCCAAATTAGATGCCGACTCGTTTAAGAGACTATCCAAGGGTTTGGCGGAGAAGGTGTGGTGGCAGCCGGAGGCCGCGGTTAGTGTCGCGGCCACAATGACGGAGTGTAAGTTGGGCAGTGGCAAGCGCCGCGGGGCACGGTCGAAGGGTGACTTATGGGTGATGTTCCTTGGGCCCGACAGGGTCGGCAAGAAGAGGATGGCATCGGCTCTTGCAGAGCTGGTTTCTGGGTCCAGCCCGGTGATGATCTATCTCGGCTCTAGGCGTGGAGATGGAGAATCGGATATGAGTTTCAGAGGTAAAACAGTTGTGGACAGAATTGCGGAGGCGGTTAGGAGGAATCCCTTTGCGGTGATTGTGTTGGAGGACATTAATGAAGCAGATATGCTCGTTCGCGGGAGCATAAAACGTGCGTTGGAGAGAGGCCGTCTTGCCGATTCTCATGGCCGTGAAGTCAGTCTTGGAAACGTTGTGTTCATCCTCACGGCAGATTGGTTACCGGACAATCTAAAGTGCTTGTCCAACGGAGTTTTGGTCGACAAAGAGAAGCTTGCGAGTATAGCTAAAAAAGCTTGGCAGCTGAGGCTATCGGTAAGTGGGAGGACCGTGAAAAGGCGAGCGCCCTGGCTTCGTGATGATGATCAGAGACCGACGAAGCCGCGAAAGGAAACAAGTTCAGCTTTGGCATTCGATCTGAACGAGGCTGCTGACACCGAGGACGACAAAGCGGACGGATCGCACAACTCTAGCGACTTGACAATCGATCACGAAGAATACAGCCTCAATAACAGGCCATTACTCGCTGCAGCCTCACCGCCGCCACCCCAGGAAATGCTCGATTCCGTGGACGACACGATTGTCTTCAAGCCAGCAGAGTTTGTTTCCCTTCGCAACGGCATCACGAGCACCATTTCAAACCGGTTCTCCAACATCGTTGGAGCTGGGATTTCACTGGAAATGGATGAAGATGCCGTGGAAAAGATCTTGAGCGGCTTGTGGCTAGGCAGGACAAGTTTAGAGGCATGGACGGAGAACGTACTTGTTCCTAGCTTCGAGGAGCTAAAATCGAGCCTTCCCAGTTCAACTGCCGACGGACTCGTCGTTGTTAGGCTCGAATCGGACGGTGAATCTGACTGTGGAGGCCGCGAAGATTTGCTGCCCAGCAGCGTCAAGGTGGTGGCGGCGGCGGCTGACGCCTGATTTGAGTTTTGGTTGGGATAGAATTGGTAATTCCATCATGTTGTGATGGTCAAAACTGTAAATATGAAGAGCTGTTTGGCGGGTAGTCAAAGGTACATTTGGGAAGGTCAAGAGAAAACCGTTAGAAGAAGGGAAATTTTTTTTCAAGAGAAAACCGTTAGAAGAAGGGAAAGAGAGACGTTGAACAGATTGAAGGAAAGGAAATCTTACAACAGCCACACATTAATGTCTTTAAATCTCAATACTCACTTTCCCCCTCTTTTTTATTTTTTTTATTTTTTTTTATTTTGCCCTTTTTTTTGTTCTTTAATTGTATTAGATTATTAATTAATTTCTTTATGCCAAAATTTATAGTGTCTGAATAGTCGTTAATAAATATTTATTAATTACGCGGATAATGATTAATAAGATGAGGCATTTCTCCCCTTCATTTCTCAATTTGGGCAAAATTTTTTTTTTCTTTTTGGCTTTTTGAATTGCCTTTTCCAATTTTGTACATGCTTTTGGACAAATTGGGGGAAAAAACACTTCAGGAAACGTGACGTGGCGATGACTATCTACTTAGTTGATCTCACTAAATGACACGTGGACATCCAACAAATTTCACGTGTCTTCTAATCTTGGACGTAGGATTCTCTCCCCCAAAGAATATTGTAGAAACGTGTATGAGGATCACTCTGCGGCGCATCGTGACCTTTTTTTCTTAAGCGTGTGGGGGCTCCAATGACCGTAAGATAAGATGACTCTTTGGATACATATTAAAGTCAACTTGATGGTCGAAGTAAAGTTAAAAGTCATAATATGCTTTATCCTCTTTTTTTTTTTTTTTTTTTTTTTTTTTTTTTTTTTTTTTTTAAATGCCTCTATATTATGTTTTAAAATAGTCCTTAATTATTTAAAATGATTCAAAAAGCTTCCTGATATATAAAAAAATATTTAAAATACCCACTCCGTTTAACACTGTCTATAGAACAAACGTGACAATTCATTTTATAATTTTAAACTCAATTAAGATGAAAAAACAATAAATAAAAAACCACATGAAATTTTCTCTTGAAAAAGGAAACAAAATGCATCTGGGTAAAGTTTCTACACAAATCTTCTCAGCGATTGAGAATCCAAACCTTGGCCTTCCAAACAGTAGGATTCCAACCCGGTCTAAATCTTTCTCCAAAAAAAACAAAAAAAACAACAAAAAAAACTCTTGCTTATAGTTCTCTTTTGCTCACCTTCTTACCAAGCAAGATGCATATATATAGATAGAAATTTCTGGGCGTATGGAATAGAAAACACAGAGAAATAAGCTCACCTTCTTACCAAGCAAGATGCATATATATAGATAGAAATTTCTGGCCGTATGGAATAGAAAACACAGAAAACACAGAGAAATAGCAGAAATTAGGTCCCGTTCATTTCGCTGATTCGAGTTTAGAATTCGAGTTGAGACGTGAATTTATGTGAGAGCTTTTTACTGTAGCAAAAAAGTTAGATGTGATTGTTTGTGAGAGCTTTTTATTGTAGAAAAATTCAAATTTTAAACTCGAATCAACGAAGTTAACGGGGCCTAACTCTTGTATCTGTAGCAAAAAAGTTAGATGTGATTGTTTGTGAGAACTTTTTATTGTAGAAAAACTCGAATTTTAAACTCGAATCAACGAAGTTAACGGGGCCTAACTCTTGTACATTTCTACAAACACCTCATCTTCACTATCGCAACCTGTATTTTAATGCAGATTTCAAACCCGATTACCGATTCGTTTTGTACCAGAAAACTTCCGAATCGGAGGGCCGATAAGCTGTTGTATTCTGCGGCTTTGAGCTTTCATCTTGTTTCAGTTTGAAATATTGTAATATAGAATGTTCAAGCTTTCACGTAATAGGGTAGCGGCAAAATGGTCTATATTATAAGCTGTATAATATTAGAGTTTGAGAAGAGATGAAAAAGAAAAATAAGAGAGAAAAATTAAATTTTATAAAGTATTGTACTTTTATTTTAAAAAATTAATTAATTTTTAAGTAAAGTAACTTAATATTTAATGTTTATATTTACGTGATGATGTGAGATTTTATCTTTAATATATAATAATAAATTAAATCGCCCCAACTAAAAAAAGAAAAAAAAAAAGAAAAAGAAAAAGATATATATAGATTTGGTACAGGAAGTTTTGAAATAACTCCTTTTTTCTTTTAAATGATTTTGACAAGTATGCGAAGTATTATTTTCATTACACACCTATCGCTTAAACCAAAATTGTAGACAGCTGACCCAGTAGCCGTGGGATAAAGAGTACTAGTCGGCAATGGCGTCTAATTGTTCATAAATTCTTAGCGTCACCAACTCCCAAATCTCATACCACTAGTAAGGTTTCGTATTGCCATTTGCAACTTAATCCTCTTCTTTTCCTTTTATTGATATCTAAAAGGAGAAAAGCAAAAAGTGAAATTGGTAATTGTCAAAAAAGAAAAACAATTGTTTATTACTTGTTTTAGTGGAAAAATCTAATTACACGTTTAGTTGGTAGATTCGTGTCATGGTTCGAATCATAATTTGTGACTCGTTACAGTATTTTTTTCTCACAAAAAAATACACGTAAATCGAGAATGATTATAAATTATGATTCTAAATTCATGAACCAAACGTATTTTAAAGATTTGACATTGACATGTATTAATCGCAAGGATGCAAATACACCGCGATTAATACATGCATGCATGATTTTGGTTTTCGGATCAAAATTTTGATAATCTCCCGGACCACACACACCGAAGGGTTGGGCTATGCACACTTTAGGTCTTGTTCACTTTGTAAACTTGAATTTTTAATTTAAATTGAGTTAGACATTTTTTAAGAATTTTTAATTGTAACCAAAATTTTCTCGAGTAAAAATTTATTTTGCCTACTAAAAACTCGGCTATACATGACTGGTTGAGGGTTTCCATATTGACGAGGACAATGTGGACTCACGCGGTTGGTTGCCCATTTTAATTTATTAAAAGGTGTAGGTCCCACAATATAGCGAAATCTCGATACTCTTTCATAAACTTAGGCCCCACCCAATTAATTATCAGAGAGAGCAAAACTAAACTCTCATGACACACATATTATTCACCCACACAGTTTCAACGTCATAACACTCTTTATATAATAATACCCTCTATGCAAAGCAAAAGGCAAAGCCAAAAATCTCCTCTTGACCCCCAAAAGAGGAGGAACTTTGTTTTCTTATTTGAATGTGGACAAGAAGAAAGCGAAATGACCAACAAGACAAAAAGTAATGCTTTTCCGTTTTACAACTCCATATATTCAATGTATTTATGCAAAGGCCTCACTTGGGTCTTCCTTCTTCTTAGCCCTACATGCATGTGTTCTCATTTAATAGCCACACTCTCTTTATTGAGATCCAACACACTCCCTCTCCCTCCTATTATTATTTTATGACTTCCTCCTCAGTCTCATCTATATATATATATATATATATATATTTTGGACAACAGGAACCAAATAATTAAATCTTGTTTTCTTTTTAGAAGCAATTAGAAATAATTGTATAGAGTTCAATATCTTATGATTTTGTTGGGAATACGTATACAAACTAAAGCCGACATATATACATATATCTAAGTGTATAATAATAATAAATGTAGCCTTGAAAAAAAAAAAAAAAACGTGTAAGATAAAAATATGTAGGTATATGGATTAAGGCTTTATTTAGTATAGCTTTTGGCAATTACTGAAAGCCGTGGTTTTTAATGTTTGATACCTAGATTCATTCCCTGATTCAAATCATGATTCGTGATTCGCTACAGTATTTTCTCTCATAAAAAATACACGTAAATCAAAAATAATTCTAATCACATGATTCTAATCCATGAACCAAACGTCTCCTTAAGTGTTTAGAATAATATGTTTTGAAATTGTTTAGCAAGACAAAAATAATTGTACTAAATAAGTAATAAAAAATTTTAAAACAAAATTAATCAATAAAACTGCATTAAAATTTGGTACACACGTTTTAAAGTGTTTTGAAAAGCTACATAATTTTTGTGAATTTAAAAGTAATTTGTACACGAAGTCATAAGCTGCTTTCAGAAGGTCATAAACTATATTTTCAAAAAGCCATATAAAACAAAAATCCTAATTAATTATTATTTGAATGTATATATACCCAAAAGTTGTAATATTGTTTTCTTTTTCCTTTTTCAAAGGGGTGCCTAAAAGTTGCATAGTAGCGGATATATTTTTTATATATTTTTTTTTTCTGGAAAGGAATTTCATGGACTAATTTTCAAGTAGGAGAATCATAATTTTAGCTAATTAATATATATCTTTTCTAAATAGAAAATGGGAAATGCTCACGTTCATAACCAACATACATTAATTAATAGGCTAGCTGTCAGCTTTTAAAATTGGCCTTGGACTACAAGCAAATGCAACTACGCCATATGCGTGTATTTATATAATATGGTTCAAAATTGATATCCTTCACAACTTGTCCTTACTACTAAAAGTGCAACTATGTCAAGGATTTTAATTTTCGTGATTCAAATTTCTTCTTTGACTTATTCTATGAAAGGAAAATATGCACAACCAAAGTGTTTACTTTAATACTTTGTTTTATTTTATTTTCTTATATGTGAACAAGTCCATAATGATCATGGGGCTTCATTGAGTGTATAATTCATGAGCGACCAAAATATAAGGTTCACATGTGACCAAGATATTCTACAAAAAGTACTTGATGACTCCATTTATGATGATACTTAATAGACCTTAAAATTGCGCCACATTATTATCCTTTTTCTTCCTTTTTTTTTTCTTTTTTTTTTTACTTCCAATACTTAAATAATTCAAGCAAAAGTACTAAACACTTGCCCTTAAAGAAATACCAAAAACCTTTCCTGATGGCAATGCTTAATTGATTCTTTTTTTCTCCTTTTTAGTTCCGAAGTTAGTTTTTTCAAAAAGTACTTAACACGGTAATACTAGGGGGAATTCAAAAATTATTATTACTATTTTAGGTCAAAAGAAGGTAAAGCATTATTATTATTACTTTTATTGGAACTATCTATTTTCAATTATAGGATTTGATCTATAGTGCATGTTTATGAAAGTTAAATTTAATTAATATC